GATTGAAAGCTGATATGTTACACTGACAGGCTTTTCCAACTTTCTGAGTCAGTGTAAATGTCAGTTAACATCAGTGTAAAATGTAAAGAAAGGCTGTTTTATTCAGACCTCTCTTAGGTGCACCTGATAATGATGGCAGACATTGTATTTTAATTGCCATGGAAGCCATTTTGACTGTTGACAATGTGATAACATGATACACCATTAATTGTACTCATGCTGTTTATCCATTCATTTAGAGTAGTTCCTCTCCCAGAGCCCTTTACATGCACAACATTTTTTAATACAGTGAAAATTATTCATCTGGCCTAAATCATGACAGTAATTCTTAATCCGTCTATGAGGTGAACCTGGGTCAAAGGCCACAATTACCTGACTCCATTCATCTACAAAATAATCTATAGGACATATAATTTGATACCCAGTACTGGCTGATTTCAGGCAGAGGCTGATTATCACACTGGGTTTTGGGAAGCAGCTGGTGGCTCCATCTGGGTGTGTTAAATCTGAGCTGAAACAGTAGAAGTGCTGGGCACCGGCCAGCTGTTGTTTCTGACACCACTCCCTCCTTAACACCTCCCAGCCATAGACACCTCTGATCATGAAGAGTGCTTGACCAGAGAAACACACATCCTGATCCTCTGAATTGGTTTTAGCCTTACAGTTAGCATCGTTAATATTATGACGGCTGCCTAGTAGAGATGCACTATGACATTTGAGTTGCTCTCTCTAAGAAGAGAGGCGTTACTTTGCCAGTTGTATATTGTGAAATGGTTTACAGGGAGCCAGGCAAAGGTCAGACTCTATTCTGGTCCTTGAGCATAAAGCTGGGTGTGTTTCCCTGTACATGGCGCAAACAGCCATAGGTACACACACTCTGAATGCCCATGTAAACAAAATAAATGTTTGTGTGTTACACTGCATCGTTGGGGCTGTCTGTTTTACTTTACCATGCTGTTGTAAAATGCTACATCTTGTTCCTGGGGTTAAGCAGCAGTTTCTTGTATTTCATCAGTCCATGGCATCATGGATCTAGTAAGACATTTTGTGCAGTTAGTAATTTTACATATTAGCAAACTGCTAAACTTGTATTGGTTGCAGACAACAAGCTACTTGTGTCATCGATTAATCTGCCAGTTGGTCCAACTCCTTTAGACTACAGTCTGATATTTACTTAATTGCTTGTTAAATATGTATCCGATATGTAGTTGTGTTTGAAATAATGGCTGTAGCCTACAAATTTTGACACCTTATTTTTCATGAGCTTCATGAAGGTTTTGTTTCAGAAAGAATGTTTATAGTGTGTCTTCCCACACAAATGAACTTTTGGGTCGAGAAGAGACATGGTGCCGAGAGGACATAAAAACAGACAAATTTTGGCCTGCTATCAAGTTACTCATGGGGTCAATGTTAATTAGTGACAGCTGAGATCAGCTGCTGACTGACATTTGCAGATTTAAGCAGTGAAAGCGACAGGGATCTAAAAATGAGAAGATGCCACCTGAATGAATTGTACACTTCTAATGTTTAATTATCCTATAACCTTGTAATGTGAAGAAACTCCTTGAGATCGTGCAGCAAGCCTAATTTCCCCATGGGGGCAAATAAAGAATCCATCTCTCTTTTACATTTCATAGACTTAGGATTAATGACAAAAAAGTTGAAGATTAATTTGTATTGAAAGCAGAATTAAAATGTTAATTCATGAATCTAGGGCTCAGTAGAATACGTCACAATACTGGCAATCACAGGAAGGCCTATCAGGATGTATTGCTGTATTGATTGTTTCTTGCAGCTAGTGTCATGGCTGCTCCTGATAAAGCTTTGTTTTCAGATACCAGACTAAGCAAGCTAGAGAAATCACTTTGGTTGGAGCCTGTTACTGTGGTCTTAAAAATAGGTTCTCAGAAAGCTGGAATTAAACATTTCCTGTATTGAAAACGTCCTGTTGTGGGTCTCGTGCAGAAAGCCACCATTCAATGACAATTTGTTTTTAGATTAGTTGAACCCAGATGCACAGAGAAACACAGGGCTGCAGTGTGGAACAGTTGATGTGGAGAGGTTACTGTAGCAGCAGGACAGACAGGGGAGCACCCTTCTGTCCTGTGAGTCAGCTGCCCTGGATATTGGCCAGCACACTTGGCAAGAAGCTGCTCTCTATATGCCCCGACACAGGCAAACCACAGCTTCCACTCCAGTTGAGTTAAGTATTACAAACAAGTTGATATTAGGGTCAGTCAGAGTTATCAAAAACCTTTTATTTTATAAAGTGGCCTCTGATACAAAATGATACAAATATGAAAAAGCAGTTTTGCTTCCATGTTAACACAAAAATGTTCTAACACTATCATCATGGAGAGTTTCTAAAGGGTTGTGGTGGGTAGCTGACTAATTTGTGACATAGTACTAGTGACTTTTTTTTATATCATAAAGCTCCTGCAGGGGCAGCCCTGCTGTGGCAGAGGAGGGCTGTCGTTGAACATGTCAAATCAGGAAGCAGATCAAAAACTATCTGATACATGCAGGAGCTGAGAAAAATCCTTCTCATATGCAAAGATGTTACATCAGACATTTGCAGCTTGGCTCTGGTCAGTTCCACACACACAGCTGAGCCCATCTGCTGAGAGTAGAGATGACTCTTAAGAATATAAAGCTGCCATAAGGCTCAGTTTCCTATTGTGAGCTGTTTTAAAGGTTCCCGTGGTTTGGAGCCATCTGCTTTGACTCATTATTTATATATTTTATATTTACTTTCCCTCTCCTCCCTGGCATGGAACGACTTGTGGATTACATGCTCATTGTATGTGTTAATGTTGGAGGTGGATGATGCTACAGCTGTTTCCTGCTCTGCCTCCCAGACCAGTCACTTTTCCTCCTCCCACCAGTGTCCACTCCTTCTTAATCCCTCATTTCTTACACTGAAACTGAACTAGTGGCCAGTTTTACTCAAAGGTCTAGACAGGCACCAGAGGAGAAAATGCTCCTGATTTGATAAAGGCCTAATGGAGTGAATGTGGGAGCTTAACAGCCTTTCAGCTCAACGTTTATATAATTTAAAATAAAAGTGCTTTGGAACTGGGTGCACATGGAAAACAACTTTTAATATTAACTCTCACTTCAAGCACCCATTGCTAGACAGTTTTAGGCATTTTCAGATTTTTGTAGAGTACCTAGTATAATTCACAGAGAGCAAGCTTCTCTCCATGAAGCCTCCTCTGTTGCATGCCATGCACATCTCTCTACACTGTCAAAGTGAAAAAGCCAAAATATATTCTTGATAAATGACTGAAATGATTACTCAAGTATGAAAATAGTTGTTGCTTAATGGACTAATCATGCAATTCCTCATTTGCAGTTTCACTTAAATGCAAACACCAACACTTACAATTGGAATAAAAATGATGGTTTGGCTCTTTCATAATGTCAGGCTTATCATACGTACCTTATGTGAATTTAACCAGCAGAATAATGAATGTCTTTTTTAGGTATGTCAAACCAGTATTTGTAGACAGTGTGTGAGATGGAGGATTGCATACTGCCACTGTGGCTCGGCCTTTGGAGATTAAGGAAAGAAATTAAGATGGCTGTGTTTGTTCTGTCCTCTTCATGCTTGTCTATAACGCTCTTGTCATCATGATATTGGGGTTAATCAGATTACATTTTAGGTTGTAAAGCTGCAGCTAGCGATAAAATGAACAACATGTCCTAGTAGGTTGATTATCAGCCATTTTATAACAAAAGCCTGCTGTTTACCAGCTGAAACTGGTCTTTATCCTCTTATGTCCCACAAGTGTGACCTGAGGCTTAATAAAGTTCTATTAGGCTTACACATAAGGAAACATTTTACTGAAGATGTTTAAGTTAACTGCAGGCAGAGGTAATCATGCTGATGCATATGCAAGGTTGTCACTCACAAACCACTTTCTTCACTTAGGGGAAAGCTCTTAAGCCCATCATTTATGCTTCTGCTGTGTTGGTCTGTAATTTCCCTTCACTTTGTGAAAGTGTGTGATGCTTGCAATTTAGCTCTTTTACAAATTTCCAGTGTGATATTTTCTCCATTGAGAATAATGTTATACCAGGGTTTACTGAACCAATCCAGCAGCATGTCATTGTAAACAAAGCAGGACATCTGCATGTTTTAAAAAGCACTGGTTTCAGTTTTGTCAGACTTAAAAAAAAGACTTAAAATTTCATTTACTAAAGTACTGTGTATTGATTTTAGCCCACCATTGGCAGACACATTTGGCTGCTTTTAAAATGTACTCATCTGTGATTTTTATTTTTCTGTTTTTGTTTGTTGAGTAGAATTGCGTGTTAATTTCATGGAAGAAAATATTAAAAGATCAATGAAAACCAGCAGGAACATTGCTCATACTCTGTTCACTATGACTGTGAAACAGATATTACATTTCATTCTTTGCGTTAAAATGTCATGATGAGCCCTGCAGAAACCCTGTAAGGAATGTTTATATTTTCCATTCATTCATCTGTCAAGTCATATTTAACATTCTTGTTCTTGTCTTTTTCTCATTTCCTTTTCAGGAACCTATAAAGTCCAGGGCGCCACAGCTCCATTTGGAGTATAGGTTTTACAAACAGTTGGGAAATTCAGGTAAGAGAGACTCTACCTGTGCAGTGTCTAATAACACAGCATCACAGTGATGAGTTGAATGTGAACAGGCCTTTCATATGAGATTTACTGGGGAATGAAAACTCAGACCTCAGAAACAGATGCGCACAATCGTGACAAAAATAGAGAGGGAAGGATGCATTTTCAAATCCATCTGCATAAGTGTGGACATGTACCAGGCAAACCGACATGTGAACACAACTCTAAGGGCTGCCATTTGGTTGCCTTCTCTACAGCACAGCCTACAACATCTTGCCAAGATGCAAAGTTGTGGCTTGAGGTCTGCAGCTCTTTGATCTGGTCAGCTAGTTACAGAGAGTGAGAGCTCCTCCCAACCCAGTTGGTTGGGAGGAACTGGGACTTGATTTGCTGCATAGCGCTGCCTGCTTGGCTGGCTGTGTGGAAATGCTCACCTGTCGCTTGTACAAGTGAGTGTGTAGATGCATATATGTTGATTTGACTGGACTACGACACCTATGCCACATCTTTAATTCCGAGTCATATGCAAACATGCCACCGTTACTTAGTCAAACTGACAGGAGCAAAATGACAAGATGCTTGTTCTGCCTCCTGGTCCTGTCGCTTTTTGTGCTGCAGCCACACCCACCCACATCCCAGTCACTCATTTATTTGTCCCTGATCCCAGACCAAATCTTTTATAGTCTAGAAAATTAAGGTATCAAGTCCCAGTTTACTTTTAATTACAGAATTTAGTCCCAAATCATTATGCTCCCTCCCCTGCACTTTGCCGCTGCAGGGCTCCAGACTAACTTTTTTCACTAGTGCTCTTGTTCTTCTCAATCCTTTTTGTCCATCCCCAGATGACAAAGGCATCTTTGGCATCATAACTTCCTACAGTAAAAATGATTCAGTATCTGTAATTCTTGTGTACAATTAAATATTGTTAAATTAAATAATTTTTCTGCTACATTATATCTCAAAAGCTCTGTTATACTTTTTAAATCACCAGATTTATCCCAAGTAACTACGAGGTCCTTTGCAGATTCATATTGTTATAATAAAAACAAACTAATAAATTCTAATTATATTATTGTAGAGTAACTTACCTAACATTATATGCAATAAATGTATACATACATACAAATAGCTTCAAGGATTCACTTACTACTTCCTGCCACACATACTTGTGTTTCTCATTCTAAGACACTTTGGACAGTTTGAATGCTTGGTCCTCTTGTTGCAGTGATCCTTCCCCATCAGACAAGTGTGTGTGTGTGTTGTTTTAATTTAGTGACACACCTGCCACCTTCTTGGCTCCTTTTGCCAGGGCAGAGCAAAAGCCCTCCACTGCCAATAAGGAGGTGGGGGTATTATAGTCCTTGTCTATTTATAAATGCCTTCTACAAGCAGTCTGACCGTTATGGTGTGTCTACTTGGAAAGCTTCACAGTATGCTCTGCCTCCCTAATTGACTGTGTGCTGCCTGCAGACAGTGCAGGGAAACTCTCCAACGTGCACTGCTAGCAGGGTGTGACCTATCTTTTTTTTTTTTTTATGGCAGTTTTTGTTTTAAGCTGTCATTTTGAACTGTAAGTTAATTTCCCACAATACCTGCCCTCCATACACAAACCTAACAGGAACTGTAATTACTGTAGAAACCCTCCAGTCTAGGCTTGTCTCTTGTCTGCCTTTGGTTATTTCTTCCATTGTATTAAACACATCCTGACCATCCCTCCTTCCATTGTGGCCACTGCTGGTCGCTCAGTGTTGCTCTTATTGACTGAGGTCTGTGGTTACACTGTACAGTATGTAAATATTTTAGCCCTTACGTAGAGCTAGAGGTGGGGAATACACACAGGTAGAAAAATACAGCATGCTCATGTGAAGCCATGGTACTGTTTCCATATGCACAATTGAAAATCTATACTTCCTTTTACTATTCTTTACTTGATTTCAGCTGTAATCGCTGCTACTGAATTTCCTTAGTCGGAAGGCACATCCTACTTTGTCCTGAATAGCGTAGTTAGGTCAGGACTTTGCCTCCCAAGTGACGCCAGGTGCTTGCTCAAGGGGGATTTGTTGGGTTTTTCCTCTATGATGATAATAATAATAATTAGGTCTTCTAGACCTTACTTTGCAAGGTGTCCTGAGATGACTTTTGTTGTGATGTGGTGCTCTACAAATAAAATTGGATTGAATTGAACTAGGATGAATCTATGGACTGCATCTGTTTCCAGGGAGGAGAATGCTTGTTATGCTGTTATATTTCTATAGAACAATCCTATATGCAATATTTTTATGATACTCTACTATGAAACCATACACTACATGACAGGTAGTCTGACCTGACAGTTTAGCATGGAAGGAATCGAAGCGATAGGTTAAATCTACCATGTTAGCCCTGCACAACGTAAGAGCCTCAAATATGTCACAGCATGGACTACTCAGTGCTTAACCCCAGGAGCAGCTTATCTACACACTGTTAATTCCCAGCTGTTGGGAATTCTGCCTCCCACAAGTTTCTTTAAAAATTGACAACGGACCTTTCAGTTGTTCTTGGTAGTAAAAGCAGTGTTACATATAGTTATTAAAATGTAATGGTACTGTAGAAGTAAAACAAGAAATAACTTTGTGCAATGTTTAGTGGTATTTCACATGCTGACACAGCTCATGTGGTCATGGAGCCATGATTGCATCATTGCATAGGTTAGTGCAATTACTGTCGTATATATAATGAGGTTTCCTCTTGAATGTTATTCATTGATGTGTATCATACCTATGATGGCATGGTTTATCATGTCAGTGTCAGGCATGATGTTATGTTTACGTTCTTGCAAATCGTCGACTCGTATGCATGTCATGTACAAAATTTTATTGAAAACAAATTGCAGCGTTCAAATTTATAGGGCTATGTTTGCTACTATGAGACAACATATAATCAGCACGTTTGACATACTGTATCTTCAAAACTTAACTGAGCTAGATCCTGAAGAAAACCCCCATTACTGAAATATTGGTTTTCTTGAATAACTTTGAGCGCTGTCTAGTTGCTGCTGTATTTTTCCCCACTAGCTTTAAGGCCAGTGGCATCTTGTAGGATTGTTGTGCTTATGATCTGTATTGCATTTGTAGTGCTAGGCTCAGTCTGTGCACGCATGAGCACTGATCACATTTCAACCTTGTGAGAACCTCTCTGGAGCACTTGGTCTAATGGAAGTCACCTCTCCTCCTTTCTCAGTGCACTCCACTCCATAATCTAAATCTTTAATATGTGTTCACTCCCCTCTCCTCTTTGGCCGATTCCCCTCTTCTCTAGCCATTTCCTTTCTGGCCCTTCATTGTAGGACTACACCGCCTTCAGCTCTGCGTTGCCTGAAAGGCCTGCCTAAAGATGCAATAGTTTGGATTGCCTTAAATTGTCAAGACATCGGGGCCAGAGCACCACTATTGCTTGCTTGCAGCAAAAGCCAGGACATTTCCCACAATGCTGAATGCAGCTGCAAGATGTTTATGCGTGTGTGTGTGTGTGTGTGTGTGTGTGTGTGCACACTCGCTGGCCACTTTATTAGATAAACCTGTACAATTGTATGCAATTCAGTGCAACACTTATTCTGCCTTAACATCTGTGTTTCTGAAGCACAAAATGTTTGTTTTTGCTGAAATTGTCAGAAATGTATAAATTAAATGATATGTTTATTATTGAGGTCATAGTTAAAGGTGGTGTTGTACTGGATTGCATCATATTCAGAGGTGTTCCTAATATTCTGACCCTGTCATGTACAGTGGGTACGGAAAGTATTCAGACCCCCTTAAATTTTTCACTCTTTGTTATATTGCAGCCATATGCTAAAATCATTTAAGTTCATTTTTTTCCTCATTAATGTACACACAGCACCCCATATTGACAGAAAAACACAGAAT